CCCCCGCCACGGGCACCCACCCAGCCCCCCTCAGCGCGCACCCACCTGGCGTGCTCCTCGGGGAGCTTCCTCTGCCTCTGCATGTGGAACATCAGGTCCCCGCCATTGACATACTCAATGACCAGGAACAGCCTGCAGGGAGAGAGGCAGCGGAGGCTGCAGTCACCTTGGCAGACGGCGGCCTCCTTACACAGAAGCCCCACAGAAGCAGCCTTCGTGGGTCTGAGCCCTCTCAGAGGTTCAGTCTTGCAGAGGCCTGGGACATTGGGGGCTGGGGAGAGCAAAGAGCAGCAGGACCACCCTGGCAGCAGAGAGGGGCTGGGGGGGATGGGCTGCAGGGCGGCTTGTGAAGTGGGCAGGAGAGGGAGTCACGCAGGGGCCTCACTGGCCTTTGCTCTTGGCCACTGTGTGTGGACTTGGGAAGTGTGGGTGGGCCTCGGAACGAAGGACGTGGCTCGTCACCAGGTGGGAGCGGAGGGAGTCACGCAGGGGCCTCACCGGCCTTTGCTCTTGGCCACCGTGCGTGGACTTGGGAAGTGTGGGTGGCCGCGGAATGAAGGAGGTGGCTCGTCACCAGGTGGGAGCGGAGGTGGCTTGAACCAGGGCAGGGGGCTGGGGCAGGATCTGCCGGGGGCTGGAGCGAGGCGGTTTCTTGCATGGAGACAGCACCACAGGCCCCAGGTGGGGCGGCCTAAGGCCTGGTTTCATCGCTGTGAGGCTGAGGAGTCCGCCAGCCCTCCAAGGGGACAAGCTGGGGTCAGGGTGAGGCCAGGCGGGAAGTGGCCTCCTGGTTTCGCAGACGTGATCGTATGATTTTAAAAGACCTGCGGACGTCATCAGGACCACGCAGGCCCTTCCTGTCGCAGGGACTGGGCCACGTGGTTTCTCTTCCTAATAAGGTCTTTCCTACATTTCATGAGACTCAATTTTCAAAATTAAATTCCCACACAATCTCCCAGAAATACCCTGTGGTGGGCACCTTGTGGGTTTTTAGGTCAGTGGCTCCTCTGGCACCTGAATTGTTTATTTCCTTCGGACCGGTGGCTGCTCCTGGCTGCCCCTCGTGGAGCAGAGAGTGGACGAGGGACATGTGCGGCGAATCTGCCCGTCTCCCTTGATCCCATGCAAGCTCCCACACCACCGCCACTGTTACACCTCAAGGCACCTGTCCCTGCTCCTGCCCTCCACGAGCTCCCAGAATTAAGCCAGAGAGGACAGGGGCCAGTTTACACAGGGCAGGTGAACTGGCTGCAAATCATTTGCGAAGTTTCTGATTGGAAACAAACTCCT